TTGCTATTCTTATTAATTACATCTGTTACCTTTCTTATCGAACGACTGACATATATAAATTTAAACAATAAAATTTGATAGGTATAACATTGCCCAATGTATAATTGACAAAACCATATGAGATTACTTATTATTATTATTATAATAATAATAATAATAATAGAAGATGACAAGATTGACAAGGACATGCTATCATATAAGCACATAACAGTACATCTAAGTCTCTATCAAGCGAGACGAACCCAGTAAAAGTTAAGACATGACACATAAACAAAGAAAATGAAAAAGCATTCAAAAAAAAGATTCAAACTACATGCAAACAAAGGCCGATGTATATTAATTTAACTGAAGTGGAAGGCACTAAAATCATATAACGACACCAAACTGAATCAAACGAGACAAGGGACAATTGCGTGAAAGATTATGAAGATTGTGGTTGTTACGTGAGCATAAAATGTTGGAAAACTCTATTTAAAAAATAATTCCTTTGTTGATTTTTTATTTTTTATTATATTTAATAAATTTTATTATATTTTAATCAAATATATATATTTTTTAATTTTTGAGATGTATTTAAGTTAGAAATAAAATATTTATAAAAAAATATAATTTTTTAATAAATACATAAAGAAGAATCATTTGAAAATATACTAATTTTTTGTGTTTAGTGAATTTTTAAGGATTTTTTCACAAATATTTTGTAGTTTTTAGGTTCATTTAGGTTAGGTGCAACTAAAAAATAAATAAATTTGATTAAAGTATTAGAAAAATTCACAAAAGACACAAGAATATAAAAAATAAAAAACTAAAAATTGCATTTGAAAATTTAAAACCTGACCGAATGAATGGACTTTTTAATTTAGTTATTATGCAAATTACACTAATCTCTCGCTTGAAATTTGAAAAAAATACATCAAATCTCATATATTTGACATAATTCACATAATACTTATGTTTTCATCAATAATTTGTCAGTCATAGATAATAAAAAAAATTAATTGTCATCTATTTCACATTTAAATGTATATATTACCCCTTTTTATCTGTGTCTAAAAGCATATTAAAAGAAGTTAGTGTAATTAGACTAAAAATATGGGGTGTATCATATTTTTTTAAAAGCACAGAATGATCAGTGTAATTTATCCTAATTTATTTTAAGAGGTGTTAGTATAACTTATGTTTACAAACTTATCGCGGCTAGATATTGTAGCAAGATTGAACATTATGGCGGTGTTGGGTGTGGTTTTTTTTGGCGAACTTATAAATTTTAATTTTGAAAAAGTTATTTTAGATTATTTGGTTAAACTTATTTTAAACAAGTTTTAATTCTAACAATTTATTTTAATATAAAAAATTAATTTTAAGTTGCTTACCTCCTGTTTCTAATTATCAACTTCTACTGTGGGCATATTAATTGACAATTATACCTTTAGAATTTTTTATTTTTTATTTTTTTGGAGGGAGTTCACAAAATTATGAAAAAAAATTATAATTTTTTGGAGGGACTTGTGAAAATAGAAAAGGATCAAAATGGAATGTGGATTTTTCTTTCTTTTAATTTTTTTATATGAGAAATTGTGGATTAGTAATGAATAACAAAAAAAATAAAAATTAATTCAATTTACAACTAACAAAGGTTAATTCAATTTACAATTAACAGAGATAAAAATGATATTTATACATCAGAAAATTATTTCACGATTTATTTATCAAATAATACTCAGTAATTTAAATCTATAATTCAGTAATTATACTAAATAGATTAACTATTTAGGATTAAAGGTATAATCTATCTATTAACTTATAATTATAATTTATTTTAACGGCTGCACAAATCACCCCTATGTACCCTACAAATGTATATCATTGATTGGAATAAAGAGTGCGGTAAAATAAAAATTTTGTTGAGTAAATTACTAAAGATGCAATAATACCACCCAATCGGTACCTCCCAAAACATAGACTGGATTAATATTTAAAAAAGTATATTTACCAATAAATCTCATATTATAAATAAATACTTTAATTAGTCTCAAGTTTTTTTTATTGATCTGCTAAATTTTATTAGTGAAGTGTTTTTTTTCTGTGTTTTGATTTTGGTAATGTTTTGGTAGACATATCATTTTATTAACGTGACAGGTATGATGTGATATTTCAATGTGACAGTTGTTAATATCACACTCCAACAATAATGTGACACTCTAAAAAAATTAAAAACTCTTAATTTACTTTTTTTTAAATATGACAACGTGACAGGTATGATGTGACACTTCAAAACTTTTACTCTAAAAAAAATAATTCTTCCTTAGTGTACTTTTTCAAATGTGACAGTGGTAGGTATGATGTGACATTTCAAAAAAATAAAAATTCCGTGTATTTTTTTCAAACATGACAACTTGACAGGTATGATGTGACACTTCAAAAAATAAAAATTCTTTAGTTTACTTTTTTCAAACGTGACAACGTGACGGTATGATATGACACTTCAAAAAAAAAAAATCCTTGGTATATTTTTCTTAAACGGGACAACGTGACAGATATGATATGACACTCTAAAAAAATTAAAAATCTTAGTGTACTTTTTCCAAACGTGCCAGGTATGATGTGACACTTTAAAAAGAAATAAAAACTCCGTAGTGTACCTTTCCCAAACCTGACATGTGACATTCTAATGTGATGGGTATGATATGATACTTTAAAAAAATTAAAAACTCTTTAGTGTACTTTTTTCAAATGTGACACTCTAACTTGACGGGTATGATGTGATACTAAAAACCCTTTAATATATTTTTTCTAAATGTAACATTCTAATGTGACGGACAAATGTGTCATTACACATTTAAAAGAACTAAATAAATTAAAAAAAAAAAAACATAAAACTATATAAATTACAAATTCAAAATATGAAACTTATTCATCAATCCATATTTACCATCCTTCTTATCCCTTGAGATACATCCCCTCGTTATCTCACGATTATTCATGCCTCCACTTATTCTGTCCAAAATGTGACCTTAGAGCATATCGAATGCTATACATGGATTGCGAAAATCAAATTTTAATAGTACTTTCGTGTGAAAATGTTAAATTTAGCAAAATTGTTCCAATAGTGCAGTACCCATTTTTTCTTTTTTTGGTTCACAAAACATTTAAAAACCTGAATAAAAAAAAAAAAGAAAAGAAATAGGAGTCGCAGGACAAATTTTAAATTTTGCTTAAACCTTTTTAGCATGCCATTGAAGTTTACTTTTAAATGAGTTTGTTATAATAATTTAATAATAGCAACCACAATGGTAAGATCTTGAAGTATAAATCTTACGGTGACATTTGTTTGGCCGATTAAGATAAAGGGGATTAAGAATACGGTGTGATTGAGTGAAGAGATTATTAGTGTTGTGGTGTTAAATTAGAAATATAAAATAAAGACTATATGTTTGTATACCACCGAATTAGTAATAATATTGATAATATTAATATTTTTTAATTTTTAATATTATAATCTTGGTGCAACAGCCAAAGTAGTTTTACATTCCAAATATATATATATATATATATAATATTGTTGCAGCAGCTAGCTGTCCTCCCAGTCTCGGCATTGATTTTTCAATCCTATCTTTGGGGAGAGAAACCTAATCCAGTGGGAGTGTAGGATTAGCAATGAGGCGGAAGTAACAATCCCGTCCAATAATGAAGCCACCAAACAAGCTGTTGTGGAACCCACATCATTAGCAATCCAATCCTACCTCCCAGTCAGCCAAACAAATATGCCTTGAGATTCCAGATTCGACTTTCCTCAAGGTCAGTTATCTGACTGACAACATACATAGTTAGTAGGACGGATTTTTTAGACCTGGATGAACTATACTGTCAAGAGTGAGTTCGAATCCTTGCCTATGTGCAAGTCCACAACTTACAACTACATGATTAAGTAGCTCTACTGTGTAACACCATCACCTAAGGTTGACCTTTGAAATTTCAACTCCTTACTATCTAATCACAAAGCTCACCTTATGCCTTTTTTTTAAATACAATAGCAACTTTTAGTACCAAAAAAAAAAAAAATCAATAGCAACTTCATTAAGTTGTATTTGAAATTTATATTTGTGGAGGAAAAGGAAGTGAATAGATTTATAAAATAAATAAATAAATAATCTTACATTTTATTAACAAATCTTGACCCTTTTTCTCCCCATAAATCTCTAGACTAACATAATTTAAGAGTACACAATTATCTTTGTGTTGACTAGGAGACTAGGGAGTGGTAGTCACAATCAGGGCAATGACTGAGAGAGACAATTGCACTTGTGTTTTGTGAAGTTTAAAAATTGACTTTTTTAATTTTTTTTTTTAAAAAAAATGTGTAAAAAATATAATAGATGATATGATTCAAAATACATTAAAAGTTGAAAGATAATTTTTAACCCACTTTCCAAAAATAAATAGTGCTCTCAAATGTCTTTCTAATTTGACACTGCCATCCACTGCAAGAAGGCTTCCACGAAAATCATTTGTGTTTCCCCTCATCATCACGGACTTCCTGTTCTAAAGAACAAGAATTTCTTGTTTTATTGACCCCAAAAATGTTTCAAAGATTCTCAGCTAAACTTATCATGCTGTTTCTCTTTCTTTTCTTTTCAATCTTCCCCTTGTTTCTTTGGGGTCCCAGGGGTGCAGCTTTATAATCGGAAAAAAAAATTACATGTCATAATTGTAGCTAAAAATTGATAATCTAAAAGTAGAACCTAAAAACACATATCTCCATCTTGAAGATAATCAGTTTAAACTATGTTTACCACATAAGTTATAAACCGAAATTGTAACAAACAGTGTGACACAAAATCTCGGAAAAAAAAGAGAAAAGAAGCACAAGTAGCCCATATAAATTGCAGCATATGAACCCTCTAGATGTAAAGCTTAGCTATTTCAAGCATCCACAGACAGTTGTACTAACAAGGCATAATAGATCAAGTCTTGCAAAGAGCATCAATATCAGCAAAAAATAATTCATTACAAACAAAAATCAAACTGAGTTGGCTGAGCCACAATAAAACCTTCTATATTTTCGATCTTGTAATGTGAATTATAATTTCCTAAAATACATGTGTAAGTTGTATCTGCTAAATATCAGCACAATTAAATGAGCATTTTCTAAATGAAACTACAAAATGCAAATTGTACATTACAAGTATAAAAAATTTGGGGAAAAGGAGGGAAAAGAAAGAAAAGAAACTACACAAAAAAAAAGAGGTATAAATAAGAGGTATGTAGTAGTCAACCTCGATTGCACTCCAACAATTTATCCTCTCATGAAAGTTGAGGCTTTAATTCTTTGTTTTATTCTTGAAGGAAAAATGCTAGACTCCAAGGTTTTTACCAAATTTTTTACCAAACACTCACAATGGGTGCAGAGACCCACATGAGTGTGGGCCCCACACCGATGTGACTGTTTAGTAAAAATTTTGGAATTCCTAGCATTGCTCTAAAGGAAGTGCAACCGTTGTTGCAACATGTTAATGCTGATTGAAAGGAAATTTGTTCCTTTTTATGTTATGCCAATAGAGACTCCATTAAGGGCTTTGGAGTGGTGGTCTGAAGGTCCATGGTGTATGTAACTACGACTCCAACGAACGCACAAATTGCCGGTATGAGACCCAAGCCAGTTCTTGTAACTGAAAAACACGAAACTATTGAACTGCACCCCTGAAGGTTTGGAGAAGAATCTACACAAAAGCAAACCGTGTCAAGTCCAAAACTTCTACTATCAACAAACCACCATCAAGTTATAAGAAGAAAACTCTCAAGCTTTGTGTAAAAATAAATTTAAAATGAACTCACTTGCACACTCATGAATTAAGAATAAATCACCTTGCTTGTTTCCACTTTTCAAAAAATATTTTTCAGAAAATTCTACTTTCTTATTTTTCATGTTTTTTTATTTTTACTGAATTTTTTTAATATTTTAAGCAATTTTTTTACTTTAGACACACCTAACATAAATACACCTAAAACGTAAAAAAATTGTAAGAAAAATCTTTTAAAAATTCACTAAATACCAAAAATACAAAAAAAAAATACAAAAATTCAGTACATTTTTTGTATTTTTATGTATTTATTAATTTTTTAAAATATTTTTTCACAAAATTTTTACTTTTTAGATACATCTAAGTAAGGTGCATCTAAAAAAGTAAAAAAAAATGTTTAAAATTTAAAAAATATTCACTAAAAACAAAAAAACACGAAAACCAAAAAAGTCAGTTTCAAAAAACTTAATCCAGAAAACTCAAACCAAACACACCGAATAGCTTTCCATTATTAATTGAGTTAAAGAAAGAAAAAAAAAATAATGGATTCACCAAAGAAGGTAACAAATCTATGGGCACAGATTGTTGAAGCTAAAAAAAATAATTTCCAGATAAATGCAATCCATACTACACAGTTGCATGCTCTTGTAAAATATATATATATATATATGGGTAAATTACACTCACCTCCCCTAAGGTTAGGAGAAAATATAATTAGTCCAATACTTTTGACATGATTACACTGGTTTCCTTTGATGTTTTAATTCGCACAACAGTTAGGCCTTTGTTCATTAGTAATTCTTCAGTTGTATGTATGAAAAAACAATGGTCATATCTTTTATCCTAAAATGTATATTTATCATTGTTTATTTCAATATCTACCCGCCAACTGCATTAGTTTCGGTCGCTTTAGCCTTACTAAAAGGAAGGTCACGGTAATTATGTCAAAAGTGTTTTGCTAACTGTATTTTCCTCAAATCTCAGGGGAGGTGAATGTAATTTACCCTATATATTTTGTATACGCAATATTAAATGGCATGTGACTTACTCTGATATGATTCAAGAATGTATAAGGCAACCCCACATGAGATTTTGTCCATGAAGCTCAATGATCCATACACAAAAGCACATCCATTGAGATCTTCACCAACTAGGACACCTTGCATGCTTATTGCAGTCACCTGTCACTCAAATAAGAAGGAAAAAAATTCAGCAACTGTAAGCTCATGATAAACTGATGATGAAATTCAAACATTCTATAAAGGAAAATATGCAAAGATAAACTATTCTTTCGTATGTCAAATGCTGGTTTAACAGTCTCATTTATTTATTTTTGGTTTAACAGTCTCGTGATTATTAAATGTTTATCCCCACAAGTGTAATTCTAAAACAACAGATAAAGCTCTCCTTTTCCTCACCTCACTTGACCTAAGATTCTAATATTCAATTTCTCTCTTTCAATTTTGCTTCAGTGTACTAAAATGAAATCACAATTATCCATAATTTATTAATATACTTTTTACTTTTTCATAAGATCTAATCTAATTAACTATTATCAAAAAATTGAGATACTGAACCTTTTGAATGGATAAAATTGAAATGGTGCTTGGAATATCAAACTTTAAGCAAAATATAACTTCATGTGATAGAGTTCTACTAAGATGTCATTGAGTTAGAGTTTACTGGAATTATGAACAGATTTGGTCCTCTTTAAAAATCAAACTGGAAGCTATAATTGACTTAAAAGTTAAATACCATAATGTCTTCTGCTCAAAATGTTACTAAAGCAAACTTAATACCTCAGATAGAATTAATCTGAGATACACTAAAGCATGGACTGTAGCATAAAATGAAAGCATGAAAATTTCTATCATACCAACATTAGAGCATTTCCTATGCCGATTACTACTGACAAAAGGTACATAATAGCATTCATGCTCCTTGGTAAAAGGAGGATCCCAGCACCACAAAACATCCAAAGAATGCCTCCAATAGAAAAAAACAACTTCAAGCGTTGGCCAGTCCACGTGAACCCCTATTGTGTGCACATATAATGGTGAAATATCAGTGAAACAAATAAACTAGAAGCATATCATAAAACATATTTTCAAAACATAACTTGATCTCAAAAGGGGACCTGTAGAAGGACAGAGACGATGAAGCTGCAAATGAAGATGATTGCTGGAACCTGAAACATTGGTCAGACATGAGTACTGGCAATGCAAATCATCTTTTCTACTGAAATATATGTTAGAAATTTGATGTTTGCAAGGTTAGTGCAAGTACCAAAGCTTTAGATGATTGCGCCATTTGCAGATCATTAATGACATAGAATGCAAGAAATGACTGAAAAATAAACAAATAAATATATCAGCCAGTTTGATTTAAAAGATGAGGTTCAAACCATTTTTTGGATATCATATTCTTCAGGAAGCCAATATTTCAAATTTTTCAAAAAAGAAATCTGCTTTTGAACCTTCAGATACTTGGAAAATTGAAACAGTACAATCCTTTATTTATAAAAACAAAAATGGACCTCAACGCTGTTACTAATGCATACAGACCTGTGAAACATTGGTTACTAATCTAGTGAGCACATAAACAAGTGCAACTTGGTAGTATAGAACTTTCTTAAACCAGTAGGACCAAGATATCCTTGAACAATTTTTTCCTTGAACACCTTGCTTCAATCTACGCAAAAGAAACGTAAATGATTAGTGTTGCACAAAAGGATAATTAACCCAAGAATAGAACCAAAACTGACCATCCCTATTTGATTTGGTCCATTGGGTCTCGGTTGGTTGGGTTACTCAAACCAACCCAAGAACCGAGCCTACTACAATATTAAAAGCAATATGTTTTCTATTTAATTGATCCCACACATAATAAAAATAAAGCAAACTGCCATAGGTTGTGGCAACTTTCTACTCCTGAGCTGCCTTGCCGTATCTAAAATGGCTTCGAGCATTTGGCTTCACCACTGAGCTCCTACTATTGTGAAGTTTTGTTATTTTATTTGATGTGGGAAAGAGAATAAAAGGAATGAGAACACATCATTTACAAGTGAGCAGCTCATCCCACATTGAACAATGACGAAGGCCTTCTCCTTCTCCCTTCTACATGAAGTCTTAGACCCAACAGTAATTACTCTAACCACTTGTCCCAGGTCGGTAGAGGACAACAATTTACTATGCTGGGTCTTACATAAATACTAAAATTGTCCCATGATTACCTGTATTGCTAGCAGGCTGGTATACAAAGTGGGGCAGCCATTGTGATCTTGCTAGCACAAGGAAATTAGGACGTGTGATCATACAAAAATTAAAGTCTTAGAATATGATTCAGACCCAAAAAAAACCATGTTTATTTAGTTTGGTCTGGTTTAGTTTCTCAAGGGTCAGGACTCAGGACGGTTTGGTACTGGGTTGAAAATTGGGGAAAACCGACTTAGGTCCGTTCAGTTGTCGCCTCTGGATTCAACTTTGACCCGAGCCAACCTATGTGCACCCCTGTAAATGGTTGTTTAACCAACTATCTGTATTTCTTTTCTTTTATTTTTTTAAATACAAAAACCAAGTACCAGTATGCATCATGCAAACTGGCCTCAAAAGTGATCAAAATTCAAAAGAAGACGTAGGAACTAATTTACGCATGCTAATTTTGTTTAAGATATTGCATGAATTCTTGTTCTACCATATCTCAAATGGATTAATGTATGGCTATACTTTTCTAGCTGTGAGAACCCTGAGTACCCAAAGGAAAAAAAAGTACTTTTGATATGCTCGACTTTACCATTCTCTTCATCAATCAAACAATTATTCTCAAATTACATGAGCAAAGAACACATCTAAACACACTAATGTTTCAAAAGAAACAACATACCAGCATCTGTTAAGATCCTGGTAGGCGCAACCTATGGACCTATGGTATGAGACATGAGTTGAACTATCCTGGTATGGGACGGAATATAGGAATTGATCGCACACATTTCATCAAATCCAGGTCTTTTGGTTTGACCACTATGCCAAAAGACTTTGGTCTAATGGAATGCGTGAGATCAATTTTTATATTTCATCCCATACTAGAATAGCCCAACCCATGTCCCATACCACAGGTTGGGTTATGATCTCCCACAGATCGTAGCATACTACCACGATTCAAACCCCAACATCCACGATGGCCCACTCTATCGACACTAACTCGATGGTAGCCCTTTTGTATTTGGCGACTCTACTAAGCTATTAGTATTCAACAACTAGCAAATATTTTAATCCAGCCCATAGGCCATCCCTTTTGCAGCTTGAACTTGTGACCCAGTGCTATCTCTGATACCAAATGTTAGAAACTTGACGAATATGCCAAAAGAACCAAGTTTGATGGAACGCATGAGATCAATTCCTATATTCCATCCCATAAAGGAGTAGCCTAACTCATTTTCATACCATAGAAAGGCCCACAAGGTCCTCAGTGTCTTGAACTTGTGAGGCCACGCTAGCTCTGATACCAAATGTTAGGAACTTGACCAACAACCAAAAGACCTAGGTCTCATGGAATGCGCGAGATCAATTCCTATATTCTGTAGCATGCCGGAATAGCCCAACCTATGTTCCTATTTTCACCTATCTTGAAAATGGTTGAGCACAATAAAAGATTTTAAGGAAACCATAGATGAGATCAAAATGCTGATCAACGAAGCGAATTTCGAAGAGAGAGAGTTTGATTCTCATGATGTTGGTGTTGTCCTTGAAGGATGCATGATTTTTATGGAGATGATAATTTATCTTCTCAAAAAGCTTTCTTGAAACTCTATTGAAGTGATTTATCAACTGTATTGTTTTTAAGTCACTTGAAGAACAAGAATACAATAATTTTCTGCCCGTAAAGATTGTATATTGCAATGTATTCACAAGTGTATGAAATCTGAGTGAATCTTGTAATGTTTATGTATTCCAACCTTGAGGACAAGGTTGATCTTGAGGTGCTTGGAATGACAAGTTCCATATTTTTGTAAAATTATTATTATTTTTATTTAGTTAATTGTTAAGATTATGTAGTAGCAAAGTGCGAGTATGTGGATTAGGTTGGTTTCCTAAGGCCATCTCCAACGTTTACTTATATCTTTAATCAAATTTAAATTTAATGAAAATTTGGTGAAAACGGTGCTCCAATCCTGTCATCAAAGTGATCAAATGAAGGAAGCAGCAGATTTTTCATCAAATCGAGAGAACCTTTCATCAAATTTCAAAATTGACCGTTGGTGAATGATTGGATGGATGATCAGGGGGACAATCGGGTGGACGACCGGATTTTGATCAAAATTTACTCAACGCTGGACAGCTGGCCGGACAACTGACAGAATTGATGAAAACGATTGGAGTGCATCATATCAGATCAAACTTTTCATCAAATTTTTACTCAAATTTGATGAACGATTGGAGATGCTCTAAGTAGTTATTATTTAGTATGAGTCATGGGTTGTCAATTACCAATGTATTTGTAACCTCTTGTATGTAAGCATGTGTATTATCAATGAAATGACGATGTTTAATTTGGTTGCAACTTCTTTTTGAAGTGTCGGAGGCCTGAACCAGATGGAGGTCTACTCCCTTCAAAATGGGTCTTTCCTTCCCTTGTATTTTTACTTTCGTTTTACAAGAGGGTAATCAACTAGAACTAGTGACATGGTGCTAGCTCTGATACCAAATATTAGGAATTTGACCAACATGCCAAAAGACTTAGGTCTGATAGAACATGTGAGATCAATTCCTATATTCTGTCCCATATCAGAATGGTCCAACCCATGTTTCATAGCATAGGTTGGGCCCACGAAGATCGTAAACACCCATCTGAGTCCCCTCCTCAGGGAAAAGGGGAGAGAGAGAGAGAGAGTTAAGAACATGTGTCAAACCTTGGCTCTTTGGTTCGAAGATAGAATATACCCACGAAGCAGCATCCGATAAAAATTGACACATATGCTATCCAGCGGTACTGCTCAATTGTGAACAAGGTAAGATTTAAAAAAGAAAAGAAAAAAAAGAGAGTTGTCCCTGACAAAATAAAAAGTCCAAATAAACACACCTGGATTTCAACATCTACAGGTGTAGTCGATGTACTGACATGGAAGACCACAAATGCAACTACATAAAGGCTGAGGTTGGCAACCTTGAAAAGATTTCAACCAGTCAAATAAGGGGATAAAAATAACACTACCTTCAATGATGTTGAATAGTTACGACAATGACAATAATGCATAAAAATCAATTTCAAAGATGTGCTAACCATTGTAAAAGCATTGCGGCAGCTAGCCAACACCACTCTACTGGTTGAATTGAGTGTGATGCAATTCACCATAGACCTACAATAAATTCAAGGTAAACAAGGTAGAGTTATTCCATGGCAAAGAGTATACAAAAAAGAAACATGACTGCATAATGAGGTCATTCAGACATAAGTAATTAACCAACTTCAATTCCAAATCATAGAAAGACAAGAAAATATTGAAAATACAAATAACACAATTCAATATAAACTAATAAATGACAAACTGGAATCACAACCAATCCTATGCAGATTTTAACTGGTCAGAGAAAGTCTTTACATGTGTGAAACTTGAGTAGCAGCCCAGCCCACATTGAAGATTGCTGCAAATGTGGCATACCCTATAGTTTGCACAGTATATGAATTGGTACCAAGGATTTGGCAAGGAAGGCAACCCCCAAAAACGGAAGAAAATGAAACAGCAACCAAAGCAGATCCCGCACCATGCCATATTTTGAAATGTCCAAACCTGTCTATCTATCAATTAAACAAATAACACAATATTATCACTAGTGTACAAGAGGTCCGATCAGTCACTAAAAAGAAAGCATAAATTCTTGAAAAACTAAAAGATAACTCAGACAACTAACGTGATGCCACTGATTGAGAGAAGTATTATTAACATTCCTAAAAGTAGATGGTTACAGGAAGTTTCTCCAAATTGTGAGGTTTATAACTGTCTCCCCCACTAATCATTAACCAAATTTCCTACTCTGAATTTGCAACAAAATAGGAGTCTTACATCATTACTAATTCCTGTAATGCCCCTTACAGAAGAAACAATCCAATATAATTTGCTTACAACAATTGGTTCTTTTGGAGAAATAAGAAATTGACAGAGCTTCAAAACAGGGAACATGAAACCTGTGTTCTCCCTTTATATATTAGAGTAAACACAAGGGCATCTGCTTCTGAAAAGCCCCATCACCTCAATGCTTCTGGATGGAAGTTTGGGAAAACTAATATACCTATTTTGCTGGATAACCAGGAATTCAATTTGTCTCGTCAAAAAGATTTTGAATGATGAAAGAAAAGGGATGAGTTTCGAGTATTAAATGAAATTCCCATAGATTAAACAGTCAGAAAAAAATGAAAGTTTAAATAAGTTTAGCATCTGTGAATTGACCAACAAACAAATCGCACCCTTGCTGTCTGAAAAATAAAAGTGCACCCGAACGAATCACGTCTTGATCTTGCATATAAACAATATATATGCATATTTATTTATCAACCAGGTCAACTGATGCCAGCATTATCACTATGCAAACGGAATTTCCTTAGTCCAGCAATTATCGAAAAAGAAACAGAATATATGACTTAAGTCTTTTAACATAGGCACCTGAGTAAGTAAACTCTAGTTGATCAGGCCTACTACAACAATAATGGCACAACTGAGTAGAGTTTTCCTTCTTAAAAGATCAGAAAAACAGAAAAAATAAGATTTGAAGTTTTAAATTTCTATTGATTCCTCTAGTTTCTGAATAACAAAATAAAATCATTAGGGGTGGGAGGGCATTTCGAACAATTCAACAGTTTCCTCACCATATAGAGTTATGAACATGCTCAAATTTGGTGCTATCAGTAAAACCTATTAGCAGAGACCCTTATAGATTATAGATGGTTTCTGCTTGACTAACTCAAAAGTGTGAAACCCAAATAAAGAATCATAAAGTTTCCATTCACACACATACGCAAAATTTGTATGTCAAAACTCTAGGTGGAACCGAATTGGATTATTTGTTTTTCTATTCTCTCCAGTTTTCTCAGAACAATTCAAAAATCTAATCAATATTATATTAACACAAGGAGTTTGTGGTCATTTCTTAACATTTCGTAGTAACAGTCTTTTATCATGTTGTCATGCAGAATAGAATATATACCATAGTTTGTTCAACCAAAGTTATTGCATTAGTTGGAAGCTTTATGAATTACTATACAAATTTGTTATGGTTTTGAAACATATTGACAAATTAGCAAATTGAAGAATGGATAACAAATGCAAAAATTAAAAAGAAAAATCATATATAAAAAAGCATGCAAAAATGAAAAGAAAAAAAATGGAGAAAGTATGTACAAACAAGCTCGTAAGTTGGTTCCAATGCTGTGAGGTTCAGTTTAAAGACTTGTACTGGAATTCTACATTGTACCAAAATAACTAGGACATGTCAATACTCTATAAAATAATGGTTATGTCTAGTTTAGGGGATACCAGTTCACCAGCAAATATGGTTGTGAATCCATCAGCTATCTGACCAGAAAGCATGACAGCAGCAGCATCCCTGTGAAATAGAATGAGTAATAAATGAAGCTCACAGGTCTCAAAAAGCAAACATAAAACTGAAAACCCCTTATATTTTTAAGGAGAAAAGAAAGGGGTGGGGGGGAAACTTCAAATATCCAACCAAACAACTCTTTTCCACAAGAGTTAATCCATAAATAACCACTAAAACTGTGATGAGAATAAATTGGCAAGTGTGCATGCAAGAGGTCATACTATCTTAAACCATGATCTGAAAAACAGCCACCTGAAGTGGATTTGCATGGCTAATTTGAAAATTAATCTGAGAGAGTATTACAACTAAATAAAAAACAAGTCCCAAAAAGCACCAAGGACATATTTTCCTACGTTACATGGACTATGGTTTTGTGTCTATGGTTCACCTGATTCTCAAGTCCTAGGATACCAGACACAGCTAAAATTCACAATTATTTTTTATTTCCAATGATAAAAATGATGTTTTCAAGTAACGTAGAGAATTAAGCATGTGCACTTCACTCAAAAGTGCTGTTCTCTAAAACATATTCCCTTTTCTCCACCACACTATCAAAATGAACACTACTGATAAACCTGAAATCTACCCTCTGTCCTCCTGACAGCTCTAAACCCCCAGGAAATCAGTCTCCAAGCTTTTCTAATCCAACACCAGAGGAATCAAAGAATTCATGAGCTCAAAACTCGATTAAATTAACCAAATACTAGCTGAGCAACAAATCAGGGTCAAATCTAGCAACAATTTTAGATGAAAAACCCTTTCGTCCCTTTAAATTATGCATACCTTTTGCGCAGCTAGTAGTACTCTATCAGAATCTGCCTAACCTAAAAAGGTAATAGGATAATTTCTCCCCATAAAAATAAACGGGAATGAAAACAGAAGAAACAAGAAGCATAATACATCAAGGAAAGAAACATATTGATGACTGTAAAAAGGTAAAGAAATATAGACCACAAAACTTCAACTACCTTGGAAGTGATAATTCATTGGCTCCCAATTGACATGTAGGAAAAGAGAAAGAGGAAACAGACAGGAGAAATTAAGTAACAAAAGAAGGAAGTGGATGGCAATCCAGTTTAAAAGGAAACAGAATTTGTTGGATTGGAACTAGAATGTGCTCCCAATGGGGTCTAAGTTCAGTTGATGCCAGTCGGTGGTGTAACCAAGGCCTTAGATTAGTTCAGCGATCTCTCATAAAAAATAGGCCAATGGTCGTAACCAATAATGCAATGAGATGCAATGAAAGTTAAAAGCATATGTATTAAAAGATTAAATTAAACATTTTAAATGATTTGAAAAAAAATTAATTGTGTTGCAACCAAATTAATTCCTATCCAGGAGAGCGAAAGTGTACCTTGGGGTCAGCCCAATATCTGTCAAGAACACTAAGAGATAAGTGAACCAACAGGCAGATGTTATGTCATTGAGCATGTGTCCCACGCCATAAAAAAGGACAGACCACCTTCCAAGGGGCTTGGTGCATGATTCTTCATCTTCCATACCATTAATCATCACGTTGCAAAGATCTGACTATCTAATTTCCCCTATCAACGGAAAACCTGCAAAGTCTGAATTGAAGCTTTATATTTAGAAAGATTTTAAAACAAAATGTTTTCAATTAATCACAATAATTAAAAAAAATTCAAATTCATATATTAATACTACATGTCTACTATATCTAGTTATATGATAAGAAAATGTTGGAGATAAGATTATATTGTCAAAGATATCATAATATATGGAAGATATTGGAACATATGGAGATCCCATGAATCATGCTTATTATGATTTTTTGTATCTTTGATTTATTTCAATTTCTTAATTGAAGGGATTTGATTGTGTCTCCTACTCTATATACTCTATATATATTGTGTATCATGTAAACAAGAGTATCAAGTTGAGTGAATAAAAGATGTATCCCTTTAGGGCTTTGTGTGTGTGGATGTAGGCCAATATTAGCTGAACTATATTGAACCTTTGTGTTCTTACTTTTCTCTTTTCTGTCTCTATTATCTCTCTATATTCAACTTTATTGCCTTATTACAAAATTCAACTCGGTATCGAAGCCTACTGAACCCTAGGCATGTTTCGCTATGGAGAACTCTCTCCTCTACATTTTTTGTTATTGAGGTGTTTTCCCCTCTTCCTTGAGTTGATTACTAGTTTGCTGATGTGGTAAGTAAACTTCATGATTTTTACTTATTTCGGGGTTGGCTACTGGTTTGTTCAGTAGCATTCTTCATGAGATGCCGTTCATAGGCCTTTTTGTTTATGGTGATTTGCTGTTGCTTTGGCCTTGTTGCTTTCTCTCTCCAAACTAGTTTCTCTTACTGCCATCATGATTGATTCAATGCACGTTTCTCTGTTGCAATATTTGATTCCTTGGTATGTTCATTGAAGTTGTCATTGAAGGGAGTTATTACGGGTCCGTTTGGTTTAGTTTTACATTTAAGATTTGAGTGTAGAGTTGTGTTTTGAGTTTTGAATTTTTGAATCATGTTTTGAAAAGAGAAAATTTGCTTGATTATGAGTTTTGAAAATAGTTTTGGAGTGATTTGTAATTTTTTTTATTTTTTTTTTTGATTGATTGATGTATAGAATGTGAGAGAATGTGAGAGAAGAGAAAAGAGATGATAGAGAAAAAGTGATTGATTGATTGATTAATAATAATAATAAAAAAGAGAAGAGAGGAGTTTTGAAATAATTTTAAGTTGCATTTTAAAATATGTTTGGTAAACATGTTCCATCTAAATCATGATTTAAAAATAGAGTTGAGTTTTGAAAAGTAAACCAAACGCTACCTACAATTGTTGTCTTTTGGTAACTTCATTGTAGTTGTTTATAATGATCATACTATTTTCGACTTCAAGTTGGATACTTCACTTCAACCGTTCCGTGTTCCAACTTGAGGGCGAGTGTTGGAGATAAGATTATATTGTCAAAGATATCAAAAGACATGGAAGATATTAGAATATATGGAGATCCTATGATTTATGCTTCTTATGATTTTTTCTATCTTTGATTTATTTTAATTCCTTAACTGAAGGGATTTGATTGCATCTCCCACTCTATATATATGGTGTATCCTGTAAACAAGAGTATCAAGTTGAGTGAATGAAAGATGTAGCCCTTTAGGGCTTTGTGTGTGTATAGGCCAATATTGGCCGAACCACGTTACACCTTTGTGTTCTTACTTTTCATTGCATTATTGGTTACGACCAAGGTTTTAAAAAGCGGCCACAACCGTTACGTAACACCGTTACATAACGGTTGTGGTGGTTGCCGCCACCCGTTACGGCCGCTTTTGCAGTGTGATTGAGATTCACAGGTGTATCGGCCGTAGCGGCTGCTATAGCGGTCGTAACGGTGCCGTAATGGCCGTAACGGCCTGTTACGCACTGTTACGTAACGGTTCCGAATTGCTTCTTTTGAAAAAACACGCCAAAAAAAAAAAATGAAAATGGGGAAAGAGAGATAGAGAGAGAGAAAAGAGAAGATAGAAGAGCAAGAGATAGAGAGAGAGAAGAGGGAAGATGAAGAACATGTTATTGATTTGTTGAAGCTATAAAACCTATGCTATTGTATTCAACTGCTATCACTCAACCATTTTGTTTGTGTGTGCCTATCTATATATTGTTTGAAAATAATAATAATAAGTGTGGTCATTATCTATTTGATTTGATTAAAATATATATATATATTTATGCTTTTATTTATTCTCTTACTTTTGTCATTGTTTATCTTATATATAATAGTTAGTGATTGATTTTTTGTATAATATAAAGTTATTAATTATTAAAATAAAATGTAAAAAACTCAGTTTATAGTGCTTTAAAAATACGAAATATATTGGATCAAACTTTAAAATTTACAAAAATTGATCAATATTTATTTTAAAACCTAATAAATATGATCATGAAAAAAAAAATGTGCGTATCGGTAAGTTTTTTTCAAATTGTGCGGAAAATAAAAAAATTCACGGTTCCGGTTACCGCAACCGTTACGCTACGGCCTTTACACCCCGCAACCGCGTCACCGCCACCGTTACGGCGACCGCAACCGCTTTTCAGAACCTTGCTCTATATTCAATCTTATTGCCTTATTACAAAATTTAACTGAAAACAAGGTTCAATAAACCAAAATGCTGTGAAAATTTTGTCAAGTCCTTGCGACTAACAACTGAAACAGAGTGTCTTAAGTAGGGCAACAACAAGCAATTACACTCTTTTTTAGTAGATTCTTAATTTTATCACTTTGGAAACTGTTAGACTAAACTAACATAAAAGAAAGCATCAAAAGTGTCCATGGACAAGTGGGAATGCGTTTATAGAAAACTGCTTCTCAACGAAATCATTAATGAAAATAATAAACTGACCCTTTCTTCAGAAATCATATCCAGATCAGGAAAATGGACTTCAACAATCAATCATATACAAAACACCATATGGATAAGTTCATAATTCATCCCTGATTCTGCAAGCCTGCAACATAAGAATGTGTTAATCTATAATATCTTTCGCAAGAACGTGCATAAATCACGTAGGGGGTCAACTGTTACCATTAAGAACAAACAAGTAAAATAACTTCACTCACATCACCAGAAAAGTTTAACAATTCATTACACCTTAATTTGACGATTCAAAGAAAAACAATTTATCCCAATTCTGGGCCCTGTCTGCAAAGGAATCTTGCATTTGGGATCTGCACATCCCTCTATGGTGTCAAGATTAACTCTGTTGACCTTGGCAAACAAAAAACTTCACCAACCCATCAAATTTTCACCAAACAATTTATTAATTTTTTTAGGGCACAAAATTGATAACCCAGAAAATATATCATTGGTACCATCCACAAATCAATCCCAGTTAACCCCATACTCATGTCCTCCACTTATACCCAAAAGAAAAAACAAGAAAACAAAATAAAATAAGTGTAACAAATTGGGGTAACAGAAATGTACACTTCTTTCTTACCCAGAAAGATCACAAAACAGCAACAACTAGTTATATAAACAATAGCAGAACAACAACTGACAGAATACACATCCACATATATATGTGTGTTTAAGACTTTTGATTAGAAATGAGAATTCATACCTCTCTGAAGCTATGCACAAAGGCAAAACCTTTGCTTCAACTCAGAAGAAACTGAGAAGTCAAGTCCTGAGGAGAGAGAGAGAGAGAGAGAGAGTCTGGGAATGGCTTGCTGGTTGTTACTTCTTCATTCGTTCCTCTGTCTCTCTAAAAAAGATTGTATGTATCTATCTACTAGCATCGACGGTTCATTTTAGAAGATGTAATTATTGCCAGAACAATACTGGCTTTTCGCAGAGTGAGGTACAACTGTTTGATGCATTAGAAGGCCGCTTGTTATTCTGTCAAAAGTAATTTAGGAGATTTTTTTCCTCTTCCTTTTCAGACGGTGCGAATTTTTAATTAGAAAATATTTGGTGTCCACAAATTATGTGACTCAAATGGTTTAAAAATATCAAAATAATGTCATTTTGATATTTTCGGAGTTGTTTTGTATCCAAAACGAAAACGACGTCGTTTTGACATTTTTGGACTATTTGAACAACAAAATTTATGGCCACCAATCAATGCCATTTTTAATTATGGAGTTGTTTGACGTATATATATTTAAAAAAATTGTTGTTGCGTTTGGTAGAGTTTTGTAAATGTGATTTGAGAGTATAAGCTATATTTTGAGTTTATGAGTTGTGGAATTATGATTTGAATGTAGAAAATTTGTTTGATTATGGTTTTTGAATAGAGTGTTGAATTGAGTGTGAAATTGAGTTTTGAAAGTTTGATTTGACATGTGAAGTAAGAAAATTTGTTTAATTATGAGTTTTGGAAAGAATTTTCAAAACTTAATTTAAATTATTATAACTCATAACAAAATACACTATTTTTATACTATTGAAAATTCTGATCAACACTCATAACCAAACTCTTTTTAAAATTTAATTTTAAAAAATTATTATTAACAGAAAATAACATTAATCAATTTTTTAATTGAAAATACTACAAAGGAAATAAATTTTTTTCAAAATAAATTTTCAAAAAATTTAAATCATAAATATTTAAATAATCTAAAAAATTTAATAAGTAAAAAATTAAAATAAATATTCAAAAAAATTTAATTGTAAAAATTCAAAAAATTTAAATATTCAAAAAATTTAAATAATTTAAAATGTTAATATTTTAAATTTAAAAACAACTCTACACTCAAATTGTAACCAAACACATAAAACAAAACTCAATTAAAAAATTATTTTTAAAACTCATAACCAAACACAAAATTCGAAACTCCATACTACTTTCACACCTCTACACTTCAAATCATAACCAAATACATAACAAAAAAATTAAAATATTTAAAAATATTTTTATAAAATAGAGTTTGAATTTATTTTTATAAAATATTTTAAAATTAAAAAAATTAAAATCGCAATATTTTGAAATTAAAATATTTAAAAATATTCAAAAATTAAAAAAATCGTAACATATTTAAATATTAAAATATTTAAAATATTAACAAAATTAAAATATTTTTAAAATATTTAAATATTTAAAATATTTTAAAAAGTTAAAATATTGATTTGAATTGAGTTTTGAAAAGAGTTTTGAATTATGTGTTTAGTTATGAGTTTTGAAAAGTAATGATTATGTTTTGAATTAAGTTTTGAGAAATAGGTGTAGAATTATGATTTGAAAGCTCCAAACAAACAATACACTCAAATCAATGGGTCGAACTATATTTTCAGATGCTTACCAAACGGAGCCTGTACCTTTTTGTGTACCTTTTTGTTTTTTTTGTTTTTTTTTAATTTTTTTTAATGTCATATCACTTATTTATTTTTATATTTTTTTTTTATAAAAAAATTAAAAAATATAATTATTTCCTCTATTTATACAAAATTTGAAATTAGGGATAATAGCGAGTCGATTGCGGCCATGGAACCTCCAATCCGTCATCCGTTTATTAGATTGACGGATTGAAAAAAATCAATCTACTTCTGTCTGTCAGTCCAGCAGATATGGATTAAATAGATTGACGGATTGACAGATGTATACGGATCGATTTGACGATTTAAAATTTTTAATATAATTCAACACGTACACTTCATTAAAAAAAATAAATAAATAAATGTTTACTTCCTTCCTCAACCACTACTCGTGTGCAATACATATATAAACACGGTGCAGTGGTCAAATTTTCAACATGTAAGTTCTGTTTGGCCATGCAACTCACTTTTTTCACCTTGTATTGAACCCCATCCACAAAATCTAATACAATTATCTCATATAAACATATGAGAGCATTATGATATCCATAAATTTTGTATGATACAATCATTCAAAATAAAGTATTATAATTATTCAAAAAATTTAAAACGCCTTAATACAATCATCCAAAATAAAGTATTACAGTCATCTAAAAAAAGTTTTCAAGCAATAGTCATATTTTGAAAATAACTTTAAAAAATAACTTACAAAGAAGTAATAAATCTATTCATTTTCTTGAGCCAAATCATGAGCCATCTAAACTTACATAACAAAAAAAAAATGAAAATTTAATAAGAAAAACACTAAAAAGTCTTAAATTTCAAACAAGTAACATCAACAACATTTAATAAAGGGAAAGTATTTTACGATTGATATTGAACTTTAATAAAATTACTCTCCGAATTTGGATTTGAATATGAACTTGATTCTGAAGCAACTACACATAAAATATAACACAACAAAAACATGATAATGAATTTTGAATAAAACAAAATAAATAAAAAAAAATTTAAAAAAAATCATTGATATTATTATTTGAATGATACCTTTGGCTTTCCACACCACACTCATTTAAAAATTAATTTTGAATCAAAAAATTAAAAAACATATTTGATATTGTTTTTTCTCTCTCCTCTCCCTTCCCTTTTTATTAATAAATTAATCAATCATTTTTTTCTCTCTCCTTTCTCATGCTTTCACATTCTATAAATCAATCAATCAAATTTTCTCTTACATATTCAACCAAAAAAAAAAAAAATACAAATCATCCCAAAATTATCTTCAAAACTCATAATTAAATAATTTTCCAATTTTTAATTTTTAATAATTTATTTTTTAAAATATAACTCAAAACTTAAAATGGAGTAAAATTTATCCCTGTGAGACTTTTTTTATGATTTTAACAAAAAGTGGGGTATGGGCCTTTGCCTATTTTGTCTGTATACAAAGGAGTGTAAATTTGACACGACTCAATCTACGTCGGGTCTCACGGGCTCCTGTCAAAATTCATACTTGACAGGGCTAGGCTATGGGCCAAAAAATTAGACCCAAGCCCGGGGGGGATATTTGGGCCTTGGGTAGGCCGGTGGGCTGCGGCTAGAGCTTAGGCTTGCCTAAACATTTTTTTATTTTATTTTATTTTATTTTTTCTACCAAAATTTTATTGTTTTTTACTAAAAAAGACACTGGATCTCGAGCAGTTCAAGCCTTGAGTGGGCCTTAAGTGGGTCGATGGGCCAAGCTAGGCGGGCTAGGCTAGGCTTGGCTTCAAAATGATGTTCCAAGCCTAGGCCCAGGGTCTTGAGTTAGGCTCGGGCCAGAGCCCAAACGAGCCAGGCCCACCCAGGCCGCGGACCATTTTTACACTCCTATATATACTCCTACATTCTGACGTATTTAATGGAATTGGAAATTTTAAACCTAAAATAAATAAAGGATAAATTATAAATACACCCCTAAAGTTTGATTAAAATATTAATCGTTCTCTATAGTTTTGGAAATTACATTCCATCCTCTGAGGTTTCTAATTATATAACAAATCGTCAATTTTATTAATAAATTATTGACACGAGTAAGCCCACAAAGGATACAGCCCACCGTTTAGGGCTCAATACATAACTCAAATATTAAGGCCCAACGCTGCTGGAGCTCAACATGGCATTAAGAACCAATAGCACCTAAATACGTGGCAAGAGAATGACAAGCCGCATAAGCAGACAAAGATCCTGCAAAGTTATTGCATTACACATCAGCCATTAATGAAGGCCCTTACAGCATTTATTGCGATAAGCCCTCCCGTCGAGACAGAACGGCCTCACCATGAACAAGGCAAGCTAGAGCATAGACTTTCGGCCATGACAACAGGTCGGAAGGGATAATGAAATGATTACCAGAGGATATAAGCAGAGGTCGAAGACAAGAAGAATGTTAAGCTTTCTATCTCTAATCTAACTCTACATTCCACCTCTTTTTCTAACTTGCACGTCGGAGGGTTCGCTAGGGGACTCCCCGTTCCCCGTTGAACTCTTGTGCAGGTCTTCTGGTGGGCTTGGTCATTCGGACATAGGTTTGAGGAGCGTGGATCAATTCGACCCGTTCCATCTGGAACGAATTGCATCATCAATTATCAAGCCAATAAATAATTTTTAATGATATTAGAAATATGTTTCAATTAATACTTTAAATAATTTTATTATTATATAGGAGAATAATTATGAAATTTATTTTTTTTAGTTAATTTTGTTAAATCAAAAATTCTAACAAAATAATATTTATAATTTTTCAAATCACAGAGAACAATTTGTACTTTAAGTAAATTTCAAGGAGTGTATTTATAATTTATCCATAAATAAAATAACATTGTGCTTGGGAGTTTAACTATTGGTCATCTAATTTGAAAAATCAGTTGAATTTAATGTTGTATTTTAGGACCGACTTTAATGCTTTAAATTGTTTATTTTTTAAAAAAATTAATAAGTAAAATATTTACATAAAAATGTAAAAATTGGATATTTTTAAATTACATTTTAAAAAATAAATAAATATAATTTAAATAATAATTATTTATTTTTTATAATATAAATATGATTAAAATATATAACTATCAATATCTAATTATCTTAAGTTATTATATAAATATTCCATTCAATAATAAATTTTAAAAATTAAACGGTTCATATTATCAAAGTCAACTCCAAAATGAGCTCACTATCTAACTTGAGAGAATAATTTAGATTTTTATGTTAAGTTTTGATTATAAATTTAGATAGAAATTTAAAAAGAGAAAGAGAATTTAACTTATATTTCTCTTTTTTATTATTATTATTAAATTTCTATCAAAATCTATGATCTAAATATTGTCTTAATTTCAACCACAATGACGTAGTAAGGTAATCATGTTCTATATAATTGAATGTATGATAAATTAAAAATTATCATGCTACAACATTGTAAATCAAATTATAAGAATA